TCCTTTGTTTTCTATTGTTTGAATCTGGCTATTACCATCTAATAAGTAAATTTTGCTTCATGGGTAAATGAAATCCACTCTAATTCTCTAATTGAACATGGTAAAAGCAATGACATATAATATATCTTTGCGGTTTCTATTCTCTCCTCTTTTCCTGCCACTATAATACTTACTATTGAGATGTGGGTTGTAGTAGCATCCTGGAGTATCTCCACCGTTCCTGTATCTTAGAGCACTGCAATTCATCAAATCCCAATATAARGGATGAAGTTTAATCATATCATTAAATCTGTTGAAAAGATTGGCCTTTGCTATTTCATATTCACACTTTTTGAGGGTATCTTCACACGTCTCTCGGCAAATCGACCTTGGGAATGGCCAATCAGAGTTTTGATTACACGTGGGGTATGCGTAATGACAATATGAATAGGTCAGAGACTCGAAACAGGATTGTGAAACTGGTATAGCGAGTTTGTCCTCCACCATTCGTTTTCCATGAAGAGCTCTCTGTATGCCGTCCCTTATTCGTTTTTGCTCCCGTTCACTACCATATAAAGTGCTGTTCTTGAGGATATGTCTACAGTGCCCGTCATTGGGATATTGGTAAGGACGACACAGTATGCCCAAGGAAGTGGCATTGACCCTTCGTTGCGCTGGAATACATCTAAAAGGGGAAACAGATGTGCTTTTAGCAGAAAAGGAAGAAGAATGAAGAAGAAAARAGGCGAAGAAGAAGCAGAAGGAAAAGAGGAAATTCAAGTAAAAGGAGGAGGAGGAGGAGAAGTTAARCGAGAAGGAAAATATAGTTTTTACTAGTAAAAGGAAGACAAAGAAGAACAACAGATATCCATAATACCTTGCATCTGTCCTGTTTGTATATCCCTCTATAAAATGAATAAATAAAACATTGCGATGTTACATTAAAAATAACAAATTACATGGAATGTGCACCTTAACTTGGCAAACAAAAAACAGATATTGGATCACCTCCCATGGTTTTGATCGTAATAAAACTAAAAAAAATGAGTAAGTCGGGTCAAATTTATGTCGCCAGAATGTATGAAACATAGTGCAAATGAAATAAAGGACAACTGATTACACCTTTTGTAGGACACCCTTTTTTGAAGTGCCCGAATATCCATTTTTGGCCCACTTCCCCCACAAAAAAAAAATGGTTTGTCCCTACTGAATTAAGTTTTTGATTACAATTTTTTTTGTGGTCTATTGTAGTATACTTTTATACGTCTGCAAGCTTTGCCGATTAGAAGCATCAACATGGTAGCTAAATATTASATTTCACCAAACTTCGTCTGATGCATTTATCACTGACATCATCAAGATAAGAGGTCTGCGAACTTTTAAAAATTATGGAGGTCGAAGGAAAGAAGGTCTTGAGAGTAACAGTTTACCTGTTTTCGTTGCCCAGATAAGTATGAGCGAGAACAACAATTGGCAAAATAAGTTCATGTCTGTTAAAAATCAAAATCAAAGTTAAAATAAGGTTCACCAAATTTTAAAATGCCTGATCACCCTTCTGACAATATTCACAGTACTGAAAAAGTTTCATAGTTTGAGTGCGGCTTCTTGAAGCTATAAAGGTTTTACCATGCCATATGCATGCTAATGCTGTGACGTATGAGGAGGCATTTATGGTTTTTTGTCCCTGTAATTCCAATTTTTTCTATGGCATGGAAAAACCTTTATAGCTTCAAGAAGCCGCACTCAAACTATATATATTTTTTCCTGGATTTTTATCCTCTTACCTCATGTAGAATCAATACTGTGCATATTATCAGAAGGGTGGTAGGCACTTTAACATCCATTAAACGTTACAATTCCATGACGTATTCAAGAAAAACTTGATCGGATATTATCGTATTATCATTATGTTCAATAGTCAATCAAACTGGCTCCAGTAGTGCAATTTTCAATATAATTTGTTTACTTCATCGATTTACGTGATGCTGAAGTAAATGACACCAAAATTAGARAAAGAATAAAACATGAATTTAAAACCTGCTAGGGAGATTTTACGAAAATCTACCCAAAACGAAGTCGAAGGCGATGTTTTCTTTAAACCAAGAAAATTATATAGTCTTAAGCTTAAGCAAGGTGAAATCACAAATGACATCTTACCAGTTTGTTTCTCTTGCTGTTGGCTGTGTAGGTTGAGCTTTCTTGAGAGACAAATCTAATTGGCTAGTCATACAGTCATGCAGATAGTTACAGTCATGAAAATTGAAATATATTTCGAATTGAGAAGTAGCGAAATAAACCTTGATTGACTAGGTGGAACTCTTTTGTATAATCATTAAAATGAAACATTCATTCGCGGTTACACGTCTTCTCAGCGTTTGTAACTGATCATGCAATATGTTCAAGTACAGCAAGGAAGCAACTCTTTAACTATTCTCACCATTCTTCTTGTACACAACAAGCTTAAGATATGTTTTTTCGTTTTTGTTTTAAACGTTAAAAGTTTTGTGCAATATTATCTTAGTATACTGTTAGATGTTATTTACTTTTGGTTTGCTTCTTGTAATGTGTGACATCTTCCTGTAAAACTGAAATCGACCGTTATCAACTGACATAAACATTGAAACTCACTCCGACACATTACCCTAATTAGAATACAAGGAAGTCCAAGATCTATTTTTCAACAAAACCATTTTTATCACACTTTCTGGTAAGAAAAGGGGGAACTGGTAAGACCAACACTTTCTTTGGATTTGGAGTTTTTATGGCTTTTTGAAAATAATTTTGCTGCTCTGCGAGTTTTTACCTTGTTTCAGGATATTGTATTTGCTTGTTGATCGATTCGTTAATTACAGTGCTTGCTGGATAGACGTTATGCGATAGTGGGTAAGATAGTTGTGAACCTCCGCTTTTGAGGTTTAGTTTTACTGTRTTTAAGGGATGAAACAGGTTCGCAGGCCAATATAAAAGGTGCCATGGCTGATTTAAAAACATATTTATAATTTTTTTAATAATGTTATGATATAGTAAAATGTATAGTATGCCTATTTTATATCAATTTCAATATTAATTCAATACTAGTTGGTGACTTGTCGCCAGAGGTGAATATTTATCTCATTCCATTACTCAAAATATGCCTCATTAGTTATATATTGTCATCATTGTTAACGAAGAGTTCATATTAAGCCTCAGATTACATAACAAACGTCCCGTCGTTTGGGACATTATTCCTGTTTTGGAAGTAGAAGTACTGTAGATGAACTATGAAGTCATTGAAACCCATTTTAGCAGTAAAAACCGCGCTGTTTTCTCAGTTTAAATCTTAATGTATTGCTCGGTAAAGTCAGGGTCTTTTAATTCAGCGAAACGTTCTTCGTCAAAATGCTTCTCCACATTGTTGCCAGATTCATGTTTAGTGACATTCTTAACGTTGTTGTCATGCGCGCTTTTCGTGTGTCTGTCTTCGTGATCCTTGAAAACAGAATAAAATTAATACATTAATAGTTGTATAATGTACTCTTATATCGCTCTTATTTGCCATATACAGTCAAATTAGAAATGAACGTTTTAGTTTTTTCAGATTTTACGAAGCTCATGAGGTTGYACAACAGTATGATGACAACCGCATTGTACCCGAAGCTGGCAAGTGAAAAAATAGTGAAACCATTCCCACTGTTTTAATTCTATTCATCATTTAATGTTTTACTTTGGTTCCAAACGAATACTATGTGTACTATAAAGCATATTTCCTCTATTAAGCCCCCAGCCTTTAATAAGCCCCCACCCCCAAGGAACGTTTTGGTCCTCTCCCTTGGCAGGCCTTCAAGTCATTTYACCTGTCGAGGTTAATTATGGATAAAAGTAATTGAGAATTTCCAAAGATCAGGAAAATTTACTAAGCCCCAGCCTTTAATAAACCCCTTTCTAATATGCCCCCAGTCTATAAGAACTGAAAAGAATAAGACCAAGGCAGGCGGCTTAATAGGTTGCGGTAATAGCTACGTTTTTAATGGCTTGTAGAATCTTGTAGGTTGTTTTGATTTCTTTTCTTTTCTTTTCTTTTTTGGTTTCATGTCGTAGAAATAGTCAAATACAATAGTTTGTGGACTTATTTTGACATGTTTTGACTTAACATCCGCTAGTTGCCCCTCAGTCAACCGCTTGTTTGCCCCCAGTCAACTCCAAAAAAGTCACGTGATTGATAGTAAGCAATAGAGGAAATTCGGTAATCTAGTAGTTCAGCGTTTGGTTAGTACGTACCACGCTCAAATTCAAGTGTCTTTTGATTTTGCGGACCAGATCAGCAAATGATGGTCTTTGGTCGGGATTTGGGTTCCAGCACTGCCACATGATTCCATATCTAAATTATGAATAAAAATATTCTAAGAAATAGCCTCATTTACTCAAGTAATTTTTTTATTCTTTTATTTTTTGCCGTCAAATTTCRTCAGAAACCTTCAAAAATAACACAGTACACATCATGGCAAGATTTTAGTCATATCGCTATACATACTTTAAAAAGGCTTAGACGAAACTTACATGTCGCGTGACGTGTTGTTCGGTCTCTCTAGTCTGTATCCTTGTCGCAGTCGTTCAACAACTTCTGAACCAGACATCCCTGCATAGGGTACTAGACCTGTAAGAGTTGACGGAAAAACATGGAACATAACCAAAAATCCGGCAATTTTATCTTTCGAAAAGAAAAAAAAAAAGACAAATTTATTAACCTTCGCTTTCCATTTCCCACATGACGACTCCATAAGACCACCTGTGGCGGAAAAGGGAAGTTTAGGAGTTAGCAATTTCAATATCTATTTTATGTATTCAAAGAAAGTACTTTATTTGACACCATCATTTTTAATAAAGCAGATGCAAAACACAGAATTAAACAAACTTTTGAGCATTCTAGACAGGAAGAGGTGTTTATGAGCATCAAGGGAACCTCCCCTAAAAGTGTGAGGTTTTCAGATCCAATGAGCAGCAGCATACAACAACAACAACAACAACAATAACAACAACAACAACAAAAAAGCGCAACATTTTTCCGTACACGTCGGACTTGCTGGTGTAGGTGTAGTCTTGTAGAGATTCCAGAGCCATCCAACGAACAGGAAGAAAGCCCTGGATTGATATGAAAAGGTACAGAAAGGGCTGGTTTTAGCGAAATGAGAATAAAATTTCAAAGACAATTTTGCTTTTAAGAGACGTCCACTTTTCTCTTACCCCTGCTGTGTTCTCATAAGCTCCACTTTCGTAAATGTCACGTGACAAGCCAAAGTCAGAAACCATGGCAACCATGTTTTTGCCAAGTAGAACGTTTCGAGCTGCAAGATCTCGGTGTACAAACTTAGAAGGAAAATTTAAAAAAGTTAGAATAGAAAATAACATACCAGTTTTGCATATTACTTTTTCRAGCTRAATTTTAATACTCTTAAATTAAAGWCGTYAAARAGTACGTTATYAAAACTACTGGATATAGTGAAAARTCATTCATCTTAGTTACCCTRTGTCGCTCCAAGTGGGCCATTCCCTGGGCAATCTCCAATGCAAACCTCATCCTATCTCTTTCCGAAACTCGTTTCGGAATCGATTCACTTTTRGGAAGGTCACTTGTGTTTTGGTATTCATTTACAGGACGATTTTCTTTTAAGTAGTCAAGAAGACAACCATTTGGAGCGAACTTCACCACCAGCCATGGAAGACCTATTACGTATGAAAGCAAATTACGGAYCATAGCCTCATATTTACGAAACTGCTTTTTAGTGTTCCCAATAAGCCTTTTCATAGTTTAAGAATCGATTCCACTGCGCATGCGATTTTATCCCGAAATTCTCATCTTCTTTTGTTTAATTAAGAACAAAAGAAGGTTTAGACAAGTTTCTACAGTTCATTACAATGCGTCGCTTGCTACTGTGGCCACCTAGATTATCCTTCTGGGGGTTAGTCATGAACCAGAATTTTTTTGGATTTATGAACCCTCTTTGAAAAGGTTCATTAGGTAGCCACCGCGCGCCACAGTAATAGGAGAACTGCTACATGTCTTTTGCTGTATTGTAAAGATGACAGGAAAATATTCATTATATATTCATTTATATTTTGAACTTACCATTAATCGTACACGCCCCAAKCAAACTGACGAGGTTTGGATGATCACCTACTGATGACATGACGTTGATTTCGTTACACAGGTCACGAAGCTCTTGTTCTATTGGTTTGTCTGAAGTCGGCGCAAGAAGAAGAAAGGCACACAGGTTTACACACACAAAAATGAACTTGTAAATAAAGGGTGAAGAGAATCATTAATCTGTCATTCACAATTGATGGGTTTCAACCATTCCCAAGAGAATTAAATAACAAAARACACGGCGGCCATGTTGGAGGATATAACAAAAGAATTCATTGACAATTCTTTTGTTAAGTTCCTCCAATATCGCCGACGTGAAAACCATCAATACCTTTCAACATCTTGACAGCACAAACTATACGGTCCTCTTTACTCTCCTTCTCTCCTATTGTGAGGTAGCCTTTCATCACGACTGCAAACGCWCCCGACCCAAGCTCTTCGTCAAGTGTCAAGTCTTCACGTGGTATCTCCCACCATTGCTTAGTAATCTTGATCTTTAGAAGATCAAACCAGTCCACGGCTGAATCATATGGATTTTCGCTCAACTAGAAAAAGGGAGAGAGAAAAAGGGAAGGAAATACCACTTTTTATTTTATTCATTGCTACGCGATGATMGAGACAACAGTCGCGATAGAAAAAGTCGGGCAATAGGCTACCTTCAATCCAATAAATTGTTCAGTACCTTTACATACTCTGAATGAGGACTGTGGATTGCCCGATTTCCATGTCGCGCCTGTTGTCTCGCCGAACATTCTTTCTCGTGTTTGATATATATTTTAAAGTGTACCTTTTGAATCGTTTTTTGTATTTCGTTGTTCTCTTTTCTTTTCTTGTACCACCATTTTCCTAAAACTGCTGCGATAATAATTACCACGAGGCAAAACGGAAGGACAATAGACAAGACTGTTTCTATTAATCCTGGAAAAAATACATGTTCTATTTCAGGAAAATTGGTGACCTAAAAGACTTAAGAATGAAGGCCGCTAGGGATTGTGGGCAGAAACTTTAACTACTTCTATAGTATGTTAGACTTACCTYGTTGGAGCTGCACTTCCAGTGGATCACTTGCCAGAGAACCATAACCATTAACAGACACCACCCTCATCAGGTATTTCTTGCCCGCGTCTAGACTATTTACTTTCACTTTTGTTACGTTGGAGTTCAGRATTACAGAATTGTAATACTTCATGTTTGTGCCTGCTTTTATGTACTGTAAAGCATAGCTAGTGATTCTGTATAACTCATTGTACARGGGGGCTGACCAATGGAGAATCACTGACGTCCCTTCTATGTCACTAGTACTTAAAGAAGCTGGCGGAGGAGGAGAAGCTAGAAAAGAAGGATTTTCGTTATCGACTGGGAGAATTCTGATTGTTAGTAAATTTTTATCAGCTTATAGCTTAATATATGTTTCTTGACTCGTTTGCATCTAAATATTTGACTGAGTAGTTGGATTTCACTTATCCTCTCGCCTTATGTGCGATTTCATGTCTTCTAATGAGCAACCGTTAAACAAAGTAATAATACTCTTGGGGATGACACGTGGTTGGTAATAAATAAACATTGCACCAAGACAAAGAAAAGTCTGATAGAAAAAAGCATAACTTTTAAAATATAGTATAGCATAGTAGTTTCTGAGACCTGCATAARAGGGAATCTTCTTAATAACGCGCGCCATGTAAGTTCCCGGTTGGGCTATTTTTAGTAACCGGATGCAGTTCAAATTTCGACTATCCCTACTCCCGTGCGTCGTCAACTTGTGCGCGCGCTCTGTTTCCGTTTATTGTTTTGAGCACTAAAAACGAAACGGAAAGAGCGCGTGTGCACAAATTGATGTCTTTTTTATTTATTTACTTATTTCCCTCCGAAATTTGCTGCTGAGTTTGGTTGTATGATGGGAAATTTGCGTACCTTTGACAAGAAGCGAATCGGGCTGGAATTCTTTCGCTATTTTGTTGTTTCCCTTTAAGGTCATAGAGATACGTCCAGTGACGTCTTGTACAGCTGACCAAGATTGCCTTCCTTTTAACTCAACGGTGATAACAAATTCTATCTGGTTGCTGCTCTTACTACGAGAGACAAACCACATACAAACATTATCTAAATGAGAAAATGGAGCACTTATTACTATCCTTTTAACTCAACGGTGATCTCAATTTCTATCTGGTTGCTGCTCTTACAACGAGAGRCAGACAGCAAACAAACAAACATTATCTAAATGGAAAATGGAGGACTTATTACTACACAATGAATATATTCATTACATTCAAAATAATACAAATTTCTTAGTAAATTTCTTTTTTTAATATTCCAACCGCATATACATAACCATATGCCATGTGATGTTTACAACAACAGCACAGAAAGAAGCTAAGGCATCGAAACGGTGACTTACATCCATCGTATCTTAAATTGAAAGATGCTGTAGCCACTTGGTGGTCTGTTTTCAAACGAATTCATGATCTGAAGAGAAAAATTAGAAGGCAGCAACATCAATTCGCGAAAATTAAATGAGAGGCTCGTTTTTCTTATAACAAAATCTTACATGCTATTGACATTTAGATTGCATCTGTGCAGCTTTTTCTACAGAAGTAGATTCAAAATGCGKTACAAAGTATTTCTTAAATAGTACGTAAGATTTGCAAGTCTTCTGCTGGAGTAAAATAACCGTAATATAGGTTGCAGAAATAAGGACAACCATAGCTTGTCATTTGTTACGCTACTAGTGCATTGCAAGATACTAACTAAGCGGGTGCGCACAGTGCATTTTCTTAGTTGCAAAGAACAGAGAGAGTCTGGACTACGAGTAGCGAAGAAAATCTAAAAAAAAAAAAAAAAAAGAGCGCGGGCGGGCGGGTTTTTTTATTTACTGACTTTTTATTATTAACAAAATTACCGAATTTTTTTTTCGTACCAAATTGAGGGAGACTGAGTTCGAAGCGAAAGTAGCGCCTGTTACTTTTTTTCGTTTCGATTTTTAAAAACTAGGTGGAATAACAAATAATAATAATAATAATTAACAGGCGGCCCAAAAAAATGGAGTGGCGGGGACGATAAACATGTAATTTTTTTTACTTGGCCTAAATCGGTTACGCAGGATAGTAGGATCACTACGGAATACTTCAAATTTTATCGATATCCTGAAACAAACTGCGGGCTACGTGATTTGAAGACATGGCTGATTGAATCCCCAACCGAAAACAACAGATCATCTAAATATATATGCATAAATAATATAATACTATTTCATACCATTGTCTTTAACTCTGTGGACGAATTCCTAGAAACTTCTGTTTTGGCGGAAGTCAAAGAATATCTAACGGCGACATAATCTACGGTTCGAAAGAAAGTAAAGGTATATTCATTAAAAGTTTATTTATGATTGAAAAATAGAGCTAATAATGCACACACACAAAAAAAGTTTTTAGCCCCTATCCAACCCATCCCAATAATATCTGGTAAAATCAATACTGTTGGGGGTATATTCAGAGACCGATTAGTTATCAAGAAAGAAGTGATCTCCTAATTTGGGTACGACGTATTGTACGCATTCATAAATAGTGCTTAAATGAGACAGCGCTCCATGTGATTTGCAACGAAACTGCAAGGCATAAAGAAAAAAACGCGTATCGGGTGTCCCGTTTGTTAGAATTTTGCTATTATCCAGCTTAAGCAAATTTTTCTGTAGCACACACTGATAAATGTTTGACTTACTTTGAGGCATCGTCTTTACATAAACACGACTGTAAGGTCCATCCCCAGCATCATTGAAAGCCATTACAGATATACTRTAGTTTGTCAAGGCCTGCAGGGTGTTGTATTCAAAAGCTGTAGTGTTTGGACCCGTTTTATTGACCATCTGTTCCTGACCTTTGTAACTAATTTGGACTTTGTATCCCCGGTGTTCACCGTGGATAAATGGTAAAGGTACTGGAGTCCATGCAATTGATATGGTGCTGGGACCAGAGGCATAGGCATCTACCCTTTCAGGAGCTCGAGAAGGAGCTGCAACCATAACACGCAATAATTTACAATAAATTTTCCAGCATTATCATGGGGGAAATTTAAAAAATTTGTAGCAATTTTATAACCACAAACATCCATGGTTATTACAAAGCTTGTAAGTGYTTCCGTACTTCCATCTCGTATATGTTTCTCTAGCCGTACATGCATAGCCGTACATAACAGAAAAAGTCCGTTACGTAAAGCAAACAAGAGAAAACGGTGGTTGTCTCGATGTGCGCAATGCCCATAATGTAATTATCGGTRTATCAAAGGAAAGCTGTTTTACAATGCTATTAATGGCTTTGATTGATTACCTGGAGGAGGGCATTTCTCTACATCACAGTACTCCCATCTTATACTACTATTAGTGGTGTAGCACCAAGGTCCATGGGGTCCTTGACCTCCAGGGTTACGACACCAGTTGGACGCATTGACCAGCTCTGGATACTCAGACAAAGGATGATCGTGACGATGAGGACATTGAGATGACCAGGATTGGCACACGTGACCTGACCTTGTTACGCTCACGTTACCACGGTAACCCAGGCCGTTGCCATAGTAACAATCTGTTTTGTTGAAGATGATTAAATTTATAAAATGTGAATGGAGAATTTTCAGTCTTTTTTTTTWATCCACGGATGACTCCCTAAAAGAAAATATTTTTATAGCTTGGGTACTTTATAAGGGTTCTTGGAAATGAAAATCTAGCATACCTGTGGTCTCCAGTTTGTCTGTTTCTGCTGTAAAGGCCAAATGAAATTGTAAAGTATTAGGCTATGTTTTGTCCAAGTTTCCTCAGATAAATAAACTGAAAATGGTTATACTCTAATTTGTTAATGGATCTTTTAGGACGCCAAAAGTAATGTTTCCTTTTAATGTAAATCTTCAAAGGTTTGTGTTTGGAAAAGACCAAGGGATAAGACCACTTTTATCGGCATGTGGAATTAAATCAGAGAAATCAGTTACGTAACTAGTGCAAGAGTTGATCCTACGTTGGTCCTACCTATCCTACCTATGTTGGTCATGGAAATTTAATGCAACACGAAGTGCAACGGAAAATTAACGTGCACGAGCATTTGCAGTACTAGCTTGTCAAAGGTAAAGGACTTAAGCTAAAGGGTAATAATTCTCTGATTTCGTTATGGCACTCTGCCAGCAGTGAAAATAACTATTGGAAGTGCGCCGCGCATAATTTGCTGACAACCAAATGATATAACAAACAAATGTATAACTTACTRTTAAGTCGTCTGCTAAAGAAACATTCTGGAGCATCTCCGCCGTTTCTTAACTTCAGAGGTTTACAGTCTGGCAACTCCCAATACAGTGGATATGTATTCGATAAAGAAATGTTTCGAAAGATATGATTGTAATTTTTTATCATTATAAACTCCTTGTCGCACAATTTYATTAAGTCATCACATGTTTCTTTGCAAACGGGCCTTGGCATGGGCTTTTCAGTAGTTTTGTCACATTTTGGAAATTTTCCTTGACAAGTTTCTTCGAGATATACTTTCAAGCAGGAATCCCGCACTTCTACCTTTCGATATTTCTCTATCTTTTGCTTTCCAATGAATATCCTTTCATAGGATTTTTCCCTTTTTATCTGGTAATTTTCACTGCCATACAATTCCTCATGATTTCCAATAATGTGCTTACAGTATCCATTAGAAAACATGTAAGGTCGACAATCTCGTTTCAACAAACTGTCATTGACAGGTGGATGRGCACTGATACAACTAAAACGCAATCACAACAAAAAGTTCCAATTATAAATCACAAAATAACTCAAAATGTTTAGTACTATGTCTGTCAAATAATAGTGGCTGAAAACCGTGCAAAATTATGTTTAATCAGTATCGAGTAACAATGTTGCGTTGCAGCAGCTGGTAAAAGAATCAAACGTGGCTGGTATTACTATCCCGTGCGAGACAACCCTTTCTGATGAAATAAACGAGAAGCTGTGCTTGCTTCTAAAAAAAAATTTTTTTTTTCGACAACTTAAATCCGTTCTGCAACTTGAAACATAAAAAATGTTGCGTCAGGGTTGCTTCAGGTAATACATATTTTGTTATAACAACTTCATCAGTTTGGGTTTTCTTTCCAAAAGTATTAACTCCAAATTACCTTGTATTTGTAATGTTTATTTCCCCTCCTGAAATAATGCAAAAAAATAAAAATGGATAAAATGAATAAAATACTTGTTGGTCTGGTAGCTTTAAAATGAAGAAATAGAAAACGTGCGTGCGYTCTGTGTGCAGTTATAAAGTACGCGAGGGTTGGCAGAACATGAGAGAAATGTTAGGAGAAGCACGACGCGTACCGAAGTGCTTCTCTAAGTACACTTGAATCCGTAACTTTCACACAGCGCGGAAAACAAGTTTTTTATTTCTTTCATAAAATACAAATTACGATAACCGTTGTTTTGGATATGAATTACGCAACTGAAACTGCGCGCGCGTGCTGTGTGCTCTTATAAAGCACGCGCGCCCAACCAATCAGAACGCGAGATTAATAACAATTATTTTATAATGATTGGATGCAAAAGGGTACGGATTGGTGAATGAATGGATAGAAAAGTGGGTAGATGGATTGAAGGGTGAACGAACAAACGAACAAACGAATGAACGAGCAACTCAACGCTACCGGAGTGAAAGGGAATATGTATAGGAAACACTAAAGCAGTTGACTTCATAATTTTATCTGATTAGTCAGCCCTCGGTTTACACGGACCCTTCGCTGGCGAGCAAGCAGGGTTGAAATAAACGTATTTCAAATGCCTTAGGCCCCGTCCACACTATGCCGGATAAATTTGAATCCGCAACTTTCACACCGAAACCGAAAAAAAGTTTTCCGTCCACACAAGAAACAGATAAAATGTTTTGCGTCCGCGCTAGTCCGATCAGAGGCGGCAAAAACGCTTCATTGCACATCAGAGCATGTGCATCGAAGCTGAAATTGAGCCTGTGGTAAATTTTTAGACCGTATTTTAAAAAAAATCGTTTTCGGTGAAGAATTGTTCCGGATTCGCCCGGACTAGTGTGGACGGTAGGCCTAACAGAATAAATAAAAATCCGGATTCAAATTTATCCGGCATAGTGTGGACGGGGCCTTAATGTTTTCGAAATTAAGAACAGAATCATGAATACTTTGTTCTTCTTTCACTAACCTCAAAGACATATATAGAGGATATAACATGGGCGCGCGGAGATACGAATTTTATCTTCGAGTGTCGAAAAGATCTCTCACGATTGAGCGCAGCGAATTTCAACAAGAGAAGATAAATTTCGTATCTCCAAGCGCCCATGTAATATTCTGTTTATTATATANAAAAAATCGTTTTCGGTGAAGAATTGTTCCGGATTCGCCCGGACTAGTGTGGACGGTAGGCCTAACAGAATAAATAAAAATCCGGATTCAAATTTGTCCGGCATAGTGTGGACGGGGCCTTAATGTTTTCGAAATTAAGAACAGAATCATGAATACTTTGTTCTTCTTTCACTAACCCCAAAGACATATAATAAATGGCCTTTCCATCGTCATTATTAACTTCTTACTAGCGGGAACAATTAATTCAGAACGGATATTTAACCTCTTAAGTGGCTTTTTCCCATTTTTTCTTTCGTTTTAGTCGAGTATGCTTAAGCCTGTCAACGACTACATTTTTTGAATTGAATATATATAGCAAAGTGCGGGGATGAGCGAATTGAGCGAAGGACAGATGGACAGATGGACGGTCGATCAAGTGTCTAAATTGAAAACTTATTTATTTAAATCTGCGTTTAACTTGTAACTATGTATCTTTTTTTCTCTCTTTACAATTTCTTTATTTTTGCGCTTTGAGCATTTTTTTGAATAAGCGCATTATAAATGTATATTATTATTATTATTATTATTATTATTATTATTATTGTTATTATCTTTATCATTATTATAAATCGCAACACTGGAATCCGAAACAACTGCTGGCACACTACTTTAATGAGTGCTTTAAACAACGCTGGAACACTAAAAAGATTTAAAACTCTCGAAAAATTTGGTGACGGAAATCATATCTTAATCAATTGCTAAAAGTAGCAACACCGATTTTCTAARAGTATATTAAAAGATCTAATTGGGCATTTTTGAAGCAAGCACAAAAATACAATAAGGAGATCGAGTATTGTATCGGTGTACCACCAACGGCATTTCCCTTTCCTTGCTAGAGCGCGTTCCTTGCAACGAACAGAAAGGAAAAAAGCAGAGGTGGCCGAAAAATTATATTGCACTTCGTAAAAACAGAGTTTGGGGTTCCTGTGGAATCAATGACGTGTGATTGCCGTGACTGAAACGACATGAGGTCGTTCTTTCGATAACAATGTTATGGCATTCACGTTTCAGGATTTGAAATTTTAGTTCCAGATTATTAAACAAACCTTGAATAACAGCCATGAATACTTGAAGGAAAACTAGAAAACCAACACAGGAACCTAGAAGATCCATCTTGGTAGACGAGAAGCGAGGAAGATAAATAAGAAAGAAATCACATTATAACACAGGGAGCCCGGCTTGGTGATGCTAAATCGGTAAAACGATCACGTTTCATATGTTGATGACATTACATAAAATAATAATTGTAACTCAATACACCCATATACAAACGGTCACTATGTATTTGAATTTGAATTCATTACGGTATCAAGTTAGTGTCATCAACATATGAAACCAAGCCGGGCTCCCTGTGATTATAACAGACATTCCACCTCCCTTGCTGTAACGACAGATAAATTCATGTACAAATGGAGGAAAATAAAATGTATTTATATACATTACAATGACGTATAACGATGTATTGAGATTGAAATTGCTCGATTCATATGAGCTTTCTAACATCCAAACCCATGGTTTATATATAACATTTGAAGCCATCATTAATAACTACACTCATGACATTTGTATTGCATTCGAGTGCTTCCGTATCTCCATGTCATTCTTATTCACCGTCAGATATACAATTAATATCAAAAACATGGTCCAACCCTGTTAAATAAATTCTATTAATATTTTAAGTGCTAAGACCATGAAGACGTGCGTAATAAGGAGAGTAACAGTGAAATTGAAAGTAAAACATTTTAAGGCAAGTCAGATCTTGGCAATACCAAGTGCCTATTTCTCCCACGAAGGTTTCACAGTGAAAAAGTTTATGTTCTTGTATTAACTAACGTCTCTTACCTTTTGATTAAGCAGGCAAAGACATTGGATTCCTTAGCGATTACTTTGACTCAATAGTTAGCACTTTGCATGACGACTCGACTGATAACTCGAGCATAGACTGAAGTGACAAATGAACTTAGAGACTTTACGTGACACTTTAGTAAAAAATATTTCGGTTGCCAAGACAAAACTTCCTGTTTTGAAATAGTCACATTGACGTACTGATGCCCGAAAGAAACTGGGATCTAAATCAGATCTAAATCTGGATCTTAATTAACAARCCATATTAAAACTGACATTTTGTTCTAAATTTTATTCTAGGCTTTTCAGTAATAACCATTCCAATTTTGAGGGGATAACAGGGTCGATTTRATTATGGCATTTACAGTGCATTTTGGGGCGGTTTTAGGGGACATATTTCCAAGATGGCGTCTATTTCGTTCCCTAAAACAGCCCCACAATTCATTGCAATGTGTAGTCGCTCCAGTTTCCTTAACTTCGGAATGGCTAATAGTTAACACCTCTAAGTTTGGTTGGTTATTATTGATTCATTTTACATCCTCTGAGCTAATTGAAATTAATGTGTTAAAATATGTTTTTTTACTGATTTTGTATAATATTATTACGGGTGTTGTAGTAATTAGTAAAAATATATCAGTACCATGATGATCACTGTATCAATGTAGCTGTTCATCATCATCATCACCATCAATATCATCACCATCACCACGGCGACCATCATCATCATCACCACGGCGACCATCATCATCATCATCATCATCATTATCATCATTATCATCATCATCATCATCATCAGATTGAAGATTCAAGTAGCAGATTTGGATATCAACCAAAGCAACAGGGGTAAAACTTGGTGACTTTCTTAATATTGATGGCTAGCTTGGCTTTTGGGAATTTTGTGTTTTGAAATTAGCTATGGTCTTATTGCTAGTGTGGCCTTGACAATATATCCATCGCCAATAAAGTGAATATTAAAAAAGAAATGACAGAAAACAATTGAAAATTGGAATAAGAATAGAGAACCTGAATGAAAAAAAAAACTGATCTTTTTTCAGACTGTCATATATCTATTCAGTGCAAGGGTCACAAATTATTACTGAATGCATGACAAATCCAGGGAAGCCAGTTTTAATAAACAAACCGGAATCAGTAGTTGAAGATCGAACAAGTTTTAGACAAACGACTAAGAAGAAACTGAAATTCAAACAAAAATATTTTTTTAGAAAATAGAAGGGTCTTCTGAAAAAATTATGGCGACAATATACCCATGATACCAGTCTAGGGAAGACAGTTTAGCAATCAGATTCACTAGGTGAAGATCAAACGACAATTCAAGGTAGTTTTAGACAAGGGAACACCAGGTGAACCCACCAGTGAAGTCATACTAACTAATTACCAGCACATGAATTATTGATAGCTACAAGGAAGGAAACGAAAAGAACATGGCGGCCATCATCAGGATCACAACGTTTGATATCTTCTTTTTGGTTTCTCCGTGAAAGACTTTCYATGAGATGAAGAGCATTTATCGAGAAAGGTGGATGAAAGAGTTTTAAAGTCTATCGTCATGGTATCATGAAGAAATATAGAAAATGTTTTCTGTTGATGTGTGTGTTGATGTGTTGCTACGAATGCTCGATCCGAGGAGTTGAAGGTAAGTTTTGAACGACTCATCATCTTAAATTTTCTACTATTTACATAACAAACCACGTCCGTCTCTCAGATCCAAATAATGATGTAGAAGAAAAGGGCTCCTTAGAAGTCCTCCCCTTTTGACTGCAATTACATATCATCATTTAACAACTTGTGTAGTATATAAGACAATTTGAGTTTACTTTGCTAATTAATCTAATAACTACTGCTTTGGTCCGATGTCACAAATTTCAAACACTGAAGTTTTGCTTTTGGAAAAAGAAAATACGAATACCTAAGTAGACTATCTAGGAAAAAAATATGATAAAGAAGTATGTCTTAATAATGTCACTTTTGCCATAATTACGACATCTTGATTTCAAAGTGTAGGATTTGGTTTTCGACCCCCCTCTTCTTTCGTGAATTCTCTTAAAAGAGCGCTGATGTTTGCGCAATAAGGATGTTCAGTTGTAGTCTCCTATTCTTCCATTAGGAAGGTCTTTAATGCTGTTTCTAAGCCTTTAATTCCAAAAACGATGTTATAAGGCTTTGTGTGGGCCACATGTGACAGATGGATCTACATGAAATGTTTCCATAATGCATTTCTGTCGTGCGAGTAACTTTGTAGTAAACAAATGATATCAYTGGGAGAACTGTGGCTCATTACTACCTCGATCGAGCCAAGAAAATCAATGTCAAACCTTTATTATAGGGAAATTTCATTAACAGTTTGAAAAATATTGGAGTGTCTTTTTTTCATTGCATCAGTGAAATCTTTTCAGAGAATATTTTCTATAAGACGTCACTCTGGCCCATCGAACTGTAATAGTTGAATAAGCAGATTTCTTATTGGGAGACAGGTTTGGAGTGAATAGATATTTACGCTTGGCTTAATAAGAAATATAACAATGGAATCAGTATGTAACATATTTCCTTGGAAAATTCCGTCAAATATCCCTTAGAATGCTGGAAGTGTAGTATATAATGTAATATAGAGATAAAGAGAGCGATTTCTGAATCCAAAGTAGCTGCTTCAAAATAATTTTTATATTTTGACATATTTGTGTTTATCTTCCAGCTTCATCAAACCATACCAGAGAAATAACAATACCTGCAGAATCCTGCATTCAAAGTCCAGTGAGACAAAACGTGACGCTCCAGGGTGGTATAGAGGCAGGAGTTTTCACAAAGATCGCACAATTCGTGGCCATGCAGCTTTGTATCCGGATGTGCTGCGACCAGAAAGGATGTGACGTTGCACTGTTGTCTGGCAAGAATTGTTACGGTGTTCAGTGTTATAGTGAGGAATCGTGYAAAGCTGTTCCAGCGAAGAAAGCGCCATCATCRTTGATGATATCTCACGTGACCATTAAAGGAGAGGGAGGAATCGGTAGGCGAAAGTAGACAAGTAGCTAGAACCATACATTAGAATAGTTTACGCAAAATCTAGAGCAGTTTTCGTATGACTGTGAAAATCTCAGTGYCGTGCCGTGCCGTGACYGTGATGTTTTCTAGAATTATAATTGGCTGATTTTTTTCTCGCGCAATGTGATTGGTCTGAAAGTGCCGTGACTTTGGCGTGACCGTGTCCGTGTCGTGTWTATGCCGTGTTCTGGGTATTTGATTGGATGGAGAGTAAATTCTCAAGCAATGTGATTGGTCTGGCGTATCCCTTGCCGTGTCATGACCGTGTTCGTGCCGTGAATTTTTCACAGTCATACGAAAACTGCACTAAAGAGCAAGCACAAAGTGACACCATAGGATTACAGCTTCATTTTCCATAACTTGATGGTGTACATAAGTCAATATTGTGTCTTGAGTCTTTGTTTAGCTCTCAATGTCCCGTTTAGTTCAAGATCATTTGTCTTGAAAACACTGACAGGTTTATCCTGTTTTTCCAACTCGTAAATGAGGCGCTTACTAGTTCATCAAGGAGGTCCATTGCCCTGAGTCATTTGATCACACGTCAAAGAAACATTAAGAGCTTATTATGTTTTATAAGCGTATCTCATTCCAATGGCCAAACAAAGACCAGAAAGAGCTAACAAGAGAATTTTGTCATGCTACTAAATAAAAAGCAGTTCATTTGACTGGCACTGTATTGTACGGTAGTTATCTCGTACAGGCAAATCAACTATGACAAACTGAGTGAAAAACTTGAAACTACTTCATGTTTGTGAATGTCAAGCATTTCTGATTAATTTAATTGTTTTCAGCTGCACCTAGCAACCTCTCCAATCCCATACCACATAACTTAAAATGTACAGTGAAGGATCCAGAATATGGCGTGACTTTGATTGGTGGACTGAAGKCTGGTAACTTCACTGATGTCGGCAAAGTGGAAAACATTAATGCTTGCACAAGACTGTGTTGTGTATCAGAAAAATGTAACTTGGCTTTGTTTATTAAAGGGAACTGTTTCTTAGTCTCTTGTTTTACGRAAGACTTGTGTAAGACAGTTAAAACCGAAACGAGGAATTATCGACCGACTGTGGCGTACGTCCGAAGATGGACGACAGCGCTTGCTTTGGAATCGGGTGAGTTTAATGAAAATATTAAGGAATAAAAATCGGAAATCTGACTGTATATCCAAATGACATACCATAAAATAATCTATATTGATGGATTGCAAGCATTCCCAATAGATTTAAAAGACAAAAGCATGGCGGCCATTGTGGTACCGTTAACAATGGATGCTAATGAGAAATCTTTTGTTAAATGACACCGACATGGCCGCGATGACGTAACGTGCAATCGAAGAATATGCAAACCTTTTATTGAAAGTCCTTGACAACTATTCGGGACCTAAGAAAAGACCTTGCCTTAAAGCTTACAAAAGGATATATTTTTCGTTTAACAAAATCGTTTTTTGCCCTTTTTAGCTCTTACTCTTAGTACGCTACCTGCCACAGACTCCAAATTGAGCTGCAAAAATAGCGACATAAGACACAACTCTACACTAAAAGGAGGTTACAGGGCAGGAAATTTTACAGACCTTGGAAAAGTGTCCAACATGTCTACTTGCATTCGCTATTGCTGTGGACGGAGAGATTGCGATGTCGCTATGATGTTAGAGCTTAGTTGCTATGCAGTGCATTGCTTCTCGGAAAAGCATTGCAAACCAGTTACAGCCAGAAAATCTGTTATTCTGAGCTCTTTGAATCCGAAGCTGTCTTATATAACTAGTAGAACCGAAGAGGGTGAGTCAAAGCATATGTTTCTAGTTGTACGACGATCCATATCTTTTTATCATACGAAGAAATCAAGACGCACTTTTTTGTACTTATCATTGTCACAACTCTTTATAATATTAAACAAAAACAAGAAAAGAGAATTAACGGAAAAGAAGAGGAGAGGAGAGGAGAGGAGAGGAGAGGAGAGGAGAAGCGAAGTGGGGAGACTATATCGATTTAGGACAACCACTGAAGATGTTTTATCATTAATATTATTATAATTTGTTTCTGTCCCTCAGTTCTTCCAAAACATATTCCACTGGAGGATGGAGCCTATTGTCAGCCCTCATTGATCTCATATGATGTTACACTCAAAGGAGGAGTCAAAGCAGGGTCTTTTACACCATTGGGTCAAGTAGATAGTATTCAGACATGTATCAGCTTATGTTGTCAGCGGCCTTCTTGTGACGTAGCATTCATGCTGAAGACAACGTGTTATTCGATTAAGTGTGCCAGTGAAGACGTTTGCGAGCAAGTGCCCGCCCGTGTTTCTGAATACAGTCCACGATTATCGTACGTACGACGATATACAGATAATGACATTACAAAAGGTAAGGCTTATRAATATGCCAAAAAGGGCAATATTGCATGAAAAAGTTAGAAATATTAATATTCAATCCTAATAGTTACGCTATTAGACTGCTTAGGATAGCCAGGGGGAGATATATCAGTGATAAGTTGAATTGGTAAAAGTTGGGAGGCTCCGACAAAGCCATCCTCYTTTGAAAAATGTGATAATCAATAAGGATGTCATTTAAAAGCTAGTTATGATATGAGTATAACAGTTTCCATATTTTCTTATAGAGCAAAAGTTGACCATGATGGGATACTTAACAAAAACAAATGATACTACACCAAGTGAAGAMMACAGTGAAGATCACTACTGCACAGAGAGTGAAATAATGTACAACGTCACGCTTCGAGGTGGAATAGCATCAGGACGATTTCGTGACAGAGGCAAAGTACCGACTATTAAAGAATGTGCGGAGGTAATTACTTGAGTTATGCTTAAGATAGTTTAATGAAGTATTTTTGCAGCTGCTCTATCTCGAATTAAATTAGTATTTCATCGTGCTTGAAACAATGTAAAACTGAAAAGGCGCCAAAAGACGATGAGCTTAGTAAGTATAGCCAGCATTGCCTGTAGACGCTGGCTACAGTATTCTTGGTCAAATACTGCGACTATGCGACCACAGTTACATAATATTAGTAAAAGTGGTTCGTGATAATTCCTATATGAAAAATTAGATACCCAAAGACATGGGTGCCTCGTTTGTTGTTCTTTTTTATTGTGCCCCATGGAGTAGCGGCAATTGATGCTTTTCACGGCGGCCATGATTGAGGAACTTAACAAAAGAATTTTCAATKAAWTCTTTTCTTAAATTCTCCAACATGGCCGCCGTGTCCGTTATTTAATTCTCTTGGGAATGGTTGAAAACCATYTCAATAGTCGAAGATCACTGACGTATTTACTGAATGGGAAAAAGATGTCTAAATCTTTGGTTAACCATTATTTTCTCGTTTCACTCTATAGATTTGCTGCATTGCCAAGGAATGCGACCTAGCATTTATGTTAAAGAAACAATGTTTCTCTGTCTCCTGTTCAAGCCAATCACTTTGCGATGTTGTCAAAGCCAAGTCGTCGGTATTTAATCCAACTATAGTTTATATTTATGYCAGAACAATAAACAATATGAAAGGAATAAAGCGACGAAAAAAGAGACTCAAGTATAGGAGTGCGGTTACGRAAACATATGACATGGTTGTAACGGAAAGCGACCTCAGAAAAAGACTAAAGACTTTTGAAAATGAGCTCATAACTTAATCTACGAGAAGACGACGAAATAAGRGCGATCTTCATCGGTAACATTTTCATCACAATTAGTGTGTAAAGTATGTAATAAAGCAATTTTGTTTGTAAGATAACGGGCCAAAATTGCTGCCACTAATCCTAGTTCTCTCGTAAGTATAGACTTTTTAAGGTCTTGCACGGGAACAAGATTGAACCGCGAAATTGCACATCACGCACTCCAATTCCGTAACAGTTTGCCGCGCAACGAGGCAGAAGTATAATGGAGATGTATTTCTGTCATTACTATATTAAATATTGCAAGGGTTTTTCAAAATGTACAGCTTTGTATGTATGGGAATTAGGTAGAATTTTTCAGAAAAACAATAAACTTATTTACATAAAATGGTATCGAGTCATTGAAAGTCTTCACTTCCTTTTTTTGGGTTGAATAATCATACGACATATCACTTAAATTCTTTTGTGGAAAAAATTCTTCATCGATAYTTTTATAACAGTTTAGATATATATATATCTTTGTACTAGTTTTGATTTCTCTGTTTTCGAGATTAGTTCCGATTTTGTGCAAAATATATATTTATGTTCTATTTGGAAGACCCGTATGACTTAAAGGCGTTTGCATCGTTGCCCTGCTACGGCAGAGTTGATTTTTCCTTTGGCTTTGGCCGACCAACTGAGAATCGAGAAAAAGAGAAAGAGAAAATCTGATTGCAGGGAATTATATTGTTGAAGATTGGAATATTTTAACAATGAGGCTAACCCTATTAAATGAGTTCATAATCAAGGAATGCAGCAGGATAATTATACGGATAAGAAAAAGGCTGTTAGAAATATAGAGAGCAACTTAACAGCTTCACTTTTCCATCAAAACTCACGTGCACTGACCTGTGAACACAACACAACACCCCAATAACGTCACAATCCTAACTAGCTGGTGACCCTACCTACCCCTCCCACCTACATTTCCATGTATCCAACCCGCAGCCAACAGAGCTGCCACAAGACACGTGACAGGTCTCACGAACCACCTGTTGACAACAGCTGAGACTTTCGTTGCTATAGTAACTATTGTGATTGTCATATTTAGACAGGGGTAGGGTGAGTTGGGTTTTGAAAACACAAGGTATTGTTGCATACTTAATGAGATTTGCCTTTGCACGTGTTCTGTGGACGTTTAAAACCCACTCCCAATTCATCWTAGCGAAATGAGGCAATAATTGYCTCAAATTAATAACAATGTAGACAKCATAGTTGTGTTAAACCTAAAACGTCAGTCATGGAAGGTTTCTTACTGAAGTTGTTGGATGTGTTCTTTATTGTATTGATAATATTTGCCAATTTTCACAGAGGATACGCAGGTAAGTCTTCATTGTTCCTGTTTGCTTATCAACGAAACTCGTCCCTTTTGAAAAAAATAATTTGCGATTACCTTTCGAATTTGCATCCGAAATGAAGACCTTAATGAAACTATATAGATACAATGCTTAAGTTAAGACTTCTTTGATATCAGAGGATGCTGTGTTGAGATTCGTGGTGTATGTCTAAATCCTAATCGCAATCCTATTTAACTTGCGCCTTAATGRCGGAATATTTCAATACTAAGTTTCCGAAAAAACTTTACAGGAAAAGCTCATTTAACGATTAGAGGCAGTTCCTATTTTTACTACCAGATATAATGTATCGAAAATTTCATTTATTTGTAGCTTTTTGTTTGATGCCAGTGAAGCATACGAACAAGTCAATGCAACATGCTAACAGCTCTTATTAACCTGTTGAACCAATTTACAATAGTGCTTGCAGACAAAGTCCATATTGGTTAGAAAAATAAGAGCCCTTTACGATACTTTGGCTTAGGTATTGAACTGAATTGCTTTCGATTTGATAATTTGAAACTAATTATCTTATTAGTACTTAATACTWCCATAGGATGTATTCAAAATGGATAGCTAATATAGCACTAGCAAACATAGAGCTATTTTGGAAAAACAATGTCAATTATTTTCGAAGTTCGTCTGGCAATTCAATAGAAAATGGCATACTGAGTTCACTAAATATGAATAAAATTACAAAAAAAAWTTGAATCATGRAAGTATTTACAACAAGATAACCAAAAACCTWCSCCCTAATTTACAAGTCGACACTTTTAGTTTCATAACAAACTATTTTCAAATGAACTGCTTTAAATAGAACCAGCGAACTGTTTTCTAAACAAATAACTCAACTGGGAAAGGTTATTACTGATAGAGAATGCTTGGAAAAAGAATGAAGAAAGCGCGTAAATATTCAGGCAATTACGACTAATCATTGTAARAAAATCAAATTAATTTGGAATTTAATTAAATTATAATATAATAATATAAATTATAATAAGTGAGGTTTTCCTACAGAATTTCTAGAACTGTAATGCAAATATATGCGAGATGTGGCGACTACCAACACTTAACCTTATGTTGAACTTTCTTTTTAATCAGCTGTAGCGTTCGTTCGCTCAAATCGTTAGATAAGACAATTTAGGCATGAGACTCTGCCTTGAAATATTGGACAATCATTCCTTATTGTGCTATATATCGACTAGAAATAAATAACAAAGATAATAGGATTTTTTTTACTATTGCCACAGAAGAAGACTTGATGACGGAGATAAGCAACGTGCGTCCACTGGATTGCGATCATGGACCAATCACAACCAACGTAGCATTAAAGCATGAGCTACGTGCTGGCAAGTTCTGGAGACTGGGAATGGCAATCGACATGCCAACTTGTATTCAACTATGCTGCGAGAAAGAAGACTGCGAAATGGCATACATGCCAGGCAACCACTGCTATGGTGTCGATTGCTTTAGTGAAAAGCATTGTGAAGTTACTGGGGTGAAACCTAAGAATCTTACAGTAAGAATTGCTACAGTCAGACCCATTGTGAAGAATGAGGGAGTCGGGGAAATGTGTAAGTCCATACAACACTATTCATATTTTGAAATAATAATGAATTACTAAAACAAAGGGCAGAGTTTTGTTGCTTTCCACGAAGRCTTTCTTTATGTGAAGAGAGGCATCATTGCTCGCATTTTATATGATGTTCATTAATTATATCATATTATGAGGAAGTTGCACCTTCTTTRCGGCATGCGCTAAGTGAAATGACCATATTCACTCATATTCTCTATTCATAGTTCTCATATTGTAGTAAGAGTCATGGCGGTGGGCATGTTTAATGATGTTGCGTTACTGCATGTAAATAACTTGTCAGTCACTTGGCCGGATAAATACACACGTTTGTATGTCTGCTATACCCCCAGACATACAAYCTTTTGTAAATTTGTCAATTTTCAACTTAAGTTTGAATATTCGTAGGGTTACAAAGATAAAGGTGCTCTTTCCAGTGCTGGTATTGGTTTTTCACTCGGTTTAATATTAACTCATTCGAATTTGCGGCGGCCATTTTRGCAAAAGGTTTATTGATCTATGCATCTCTTTTTCAACATGGTAAAGTTCAGAAGAACATATCATGCCTTGTTGTTTACAATTGTTAAGGTAAACGTGAAGTTTCTTCACACAATGTTATAACTAATTAACCAAGTCTTTTTAACCATTCATCCTGCAGTTGAAATCGAGGATCCATCGACCAAAGAAGAACTTCACTGCACTCAGAGCCCTATCCTCRCCAACGTCACCCTCAGGGGAGGAGTGAAAGCAGGCAAATTTAGTGACATGGGTGACGTAGAAGGGATGCATATGTGCACAGCACTATGTTGTGCCCGGAAGTCATGTGACCTTGCCTTTATGATCAGTAGCACATGCATTGCTGTGGATTGTTATAGCGAGGAGCTGTGTCAGGCAGTAAGGGCTAGGCCAACAGCATACAATCCGCGGATTTCTTATGTTAGAAAACGGGAATATCAGAGATCAGGAAGAAAGGGTGAGTTGATGAAATAGTTGGTGTTCATTTTCCTTATCCTGGACTCTGGTAAATGTGTGCTTGATTCCAATTTGATGTGTGAGTTAGCYTTGCCATGATTTTGATCAGTGATACCTATGGCAACTTCTGTGAAAGTGAAAGTGGAGTATTAATTTTTTTTATAGGAAACTGATTAAAATTGCTTACGATTGACTTCATGGCAGTCCTCTTTTYATTGCCGGAACCCCTGTCCTTTGCAATACACCTTCATCAGCARTGTAAACCTGATTATTCACTGACGTTGAATTGCTTATTGAATCTCKCTTTCCGCATCATGATGATCTGATAGTATTTGGTCACTAGATCTCCTTCATTTTCCCACATCATTCTTCTCGATTTTAGATATCAAAGCAAGGTTCCTTCATTTGTTGTCCAGCCCTTGCCATGCCAGTTGCCATTTATCAAAGAAAGTTGACAATTAACTTTTAAACTCTTTGTATTTCAGCCAATGTACTTCCAATAAAACCAGTGCCACGACAGGAAATAATCAGCGATCTCTTGCCACATCGCACAATATTGAAAACCAGCACATGCTCTGCCGTGAAAATCCATCGTAATGTAACTTTACTTGGAGGAATCAAGTCAGGAAATCTGACCGCACTTGGAAAGGTTTGTGCGCAACAGTGTTAGTTAAYCATTTCAGTTTATTATTAGGTTAAACAAACAGTTACCTTTGGGCAATACAAATTTTCACTTGAGCCATTGCGTCAGACTTAGGTGGATGATACTGATGTGATATGGACGCAAGATTTTTATTCTATCTATAAATCACTTCAAAGGCACATGGGATATCATGTGGTAGAGAGGGCTCCACTCACGTGAACGGCTTCTGTAAAATGTTGTTTAAGGGTTACGTGATTGACATAAAACTACCATCACCCTATTCTGCGGGAAACAAATTTTCCTGCTGGAATGCCAATATGGGTCACTTTGAGTTACGCAATCTTTGCCATTATAACGAGGTGGTGGGCCAAAACCCTTCAACTGCTTGATGTCAGACCCCTAMAGTTTTTCACGCCATTCCGTGTGGGACCATTTTTGGTAAAAATAGTTTTTTTTGCAGACGAAAAACATGCAAGAATGCATCGGCAAGTCATGTGATCTTGGTACAGGTGACCTAGCTTTTATGTTGGGCAACGACTGCTATTCCATCACGTGTTACAGTGATCGCGTGTGCCAGACTATTCCAGCAAAGCCGTCACTCTTTACTCCACGATTAGCCTTCCTGAAGTGGTCCCCAAAAGAAAACGAAACAGGTTTGTAGATGCGTTAAATAGGAAAGGAATCCAATTTAATAGGCCCCTTTCATAAAAGACCTAGATTCTAGGTGTACCAGTACTTGTTTCTGGAGAATCAAAAACAAGACGACAAGGGATGGCATTGAAGTCAAGTTTGTAGAAACAGTAGCATCGAATGTTTCCTTATATATATCATAAATCTATATGTATCTCTGAGTCCATATATYTCAGTATGATCCTCTCAGGGAAGAGTAAATGCAGGCAAATTTAGCGACTAAGGAAAGCATATGAACATTTTTGAATCCAAGTTTAAGCTTCATGAAGGTAATGGATTATGCCTGTATCTTTATTACAGAAGCGCTTCTTGAAGATCATACAGTTAAAAGACAAATCCCCCACTGCACCAGAAGCCACATCTTATACAACCATACCGTACTCGGAGGTCTGCGAGCCGGCAATTTTACAAAGATTGCCGAGGTTGACAGCATTGAGACATGCGCAGCACTCTGTTGTGCAGAAAACACATGTGACTTGGCCTTGATGCTTGGTGAGAACTGCTATGCAGGGGACTGTGCAAGTAAGGAACTGTGTAAACCGATTCCTGCTATACAGTCTTCCCAGATAGCTTACATTACATCAAGAAAGAACCGAGACAATAGTCTAGGTAAGGTATCATGTTTAGAAATGTTATGCCACAATAAGCATTGCTAAACTTGAGCAGAGTACAATGTTCAGTCGTTCATCAGTCATATAGGGAGTCATTATAGCTGATACCTTCCTTCASACAAGACAATCAAGGCGCACGCAATATTGGTCATTCGCCCAAATAGGCTGGGCTGACATCAACGATAGTCATACTTCTACTATATAATATTTACTTGGATATATACTCGAGTATTTGGAGCACGGAGTTGCATTGATTTAACATAAACTTCTGTGTCATGCAGTATTTTCTGTACAATAACTGTCGATTTTTTGGTAACAGATTGGAGCATGTGGTACCTCGTTGTTGGTACTATCGCAATCATTCTTGGAATAYTTGGAATAACGTGGACAGTCTTTACATGTTACTCACGGTAAGATATTCCTTTGCTGCTCGCCTCACCTGTGTGTTGATACCTATAAATTGCTATATGTAAACCTATTGTTGAGGGACAATCGATAATGATAATTGTTTTTGCAGCAGCAGAAGAAAACGCAGAACAAAAGAACAGGAAGCGGATAGGTTTGGAATGATGGACCAGTATGGGCACTCGATACAATCTATGCAGATGTTACCTCAAGGTTAGTCTGTCGACACTGCATCTTTTATTGATGATGGGGTTAAATATCATCCACAATGAACTACGTTGTATAACAGCGAATGTATTAGCAGTAACTGTTATAACRAGATGTATTAGTGCAACATGGCTTCTTGGTAGCAGTTAAAGCAATGACGACTCTGATTAACTACAGTTACTTTAGAGTCCAAACGTTATTTCCTTTGTTCTAAACTCTTTTACGTTCTCGATCAGGAGAAATAGTAAACAGCCTGAGTAACTGATCCTAAATGAGCCAAAACGTCTACACTCACAAAAAAATCATTAAGCACCCTATAGCTATAGACCCCTYGCAGCACGTCGGAATGCAGCTAAATTTGGGGCCGGGGGACATAACAATACGTTTCCAATTCTCATGAGACTGAAGTTCTCTTGTTTTGTCTTCCAAATTGATTTGYTTTGAAGTCACATGTAAGGGGTCTATATGGCCTGTAGTAAAGTGTTATGTTATCAGTTCTAATGTATTTCAATGTCGATTTAAAACCTTTTAGATAAATACATGACAAGTGGGCCGCTATTTCTGAGTGAAACAGAAAGTGATTCAGAAGACGACCCGGAGCCACCACCCATACAAAGAAAGAGTCTCCCTACAGGGGTATCATTTCCTAATATAGCACCTCCTCCCTATAGCAAAAGCCCGCTTAGGTATGGCAACCAATCAGTAGATTCATCCAGGATGAAAAGATCGATGCAGAATCTTTAGCACACACAAGAGAAATTACCAAATATCAATTGCTACTGCAATGAAGATCGTAAAACATGACATAAGGCTAAACATTGATAAGTAAACGCGGAACCTTAATCGAGATTATAAAATTTACACCAATTTCTTATGTATTAAGCGGTTTTTGTAAGAGATAATGACAATAACAATGGCTTCAAATTATTTATCTACCAGTAATTCATTCAACAGCGGGTAGTTAAGACTGATGACGGTAAGACTGTGCGGATACGAATTTGCAGTATCGTTTCCCATGAACTAAATTCATGCGAAAACCACTCTATATAAGGTATAGTAAAGTCAGTGATACTGATTRTGTGCTTTGAGCAACTTATACTGTTCGGACAAACTCTAATTTGAGGGTAATAGACGGATTCAATGAGCAATAAGCAACAGTTTATGCTAGATTGAGCAACATTTAAAACGTTAACCTCTTCAAGAGGAAAGTTAATTCATTGTTATCTATAAATAATAGAAGTATGGGGTAAATTTATTCAGTAAGAAGTTGTTAAGCTTGTAATAAAGGTCTTTTTATACGAATTTGGTAGTGATCTCTTATTTTATGTCATCGCCGCTATGTTGCTGGTATTAA